ATAAAATAAAATGAATTGTGTTAAAAGGATATTTGATTTGATCAGATGTTCAAAATGCATTCCATTCTGTTGTAAGCAATAGTATTATCGATGTTCAAATGCCATTCTAACATTTTGAAACACATCTCTTGGAATATATCGGCATTCTGCATTTTACTTTATTCGACTTCATGTTTTCCGTTCACCCTGTAGTGGGTGGAAAATAATTCTTGTACAGGTGAAAACTACTGACTGAGACCGTTCATTTGAGGTATCACAAAAGAGGTAGTGCCATTTGATATTTCAAAGATGGAGTGTGTCGCGCCGACGGGGTGACTCATCCCTTTACTGAAGTATGGTGGTTCTAGTTCCCCCTAACTCTGTGGCATTTGTGCCAAACGGCGTTTTCCTAACTGTTTTATTTAGCGAGATATTCGCATTGAAAGTTTTCAAATTTAGACCCTCGAATTAATGTTTTTCGTACACCCTGTAGTGGGTGGAAAAAAAGTCGTGTACAGGTGAATACTACTGACTGAGACCGTTCATTTGAGGTATCACAAAAGAGGTAGTGCCATTTGACATTTCAAAGTTGGGGTGTGTTGCGCTGACAGGGTGACTCATCCCTTCACTGAAATATGGTGGTTCTAGTTCCCCTTAACTCTTTAGCATTTTTGCCCAGCGGCGTTTTTCTAACTTTTTTATTTCACGAGATATTCGCATTGAAAGTTTTCAAATTTACACCCTGTATACGGTCTTCTAGTGTTCAGTTCTCGAGTTACAGGGCGTTAAAGTTGAGAAATAAAAATAGTTGTTTCGCAATATCTCAAGAGTAATTGAATATAATGCATTCAACTTCGGTGGTTTCATCTTTGAATGGGTCATTTTTTGACCAAGAAGCTTCCGGACATTTTATCTAGTGCTGCCCTACAGGGGGTTATTGTGGCAACTTTCCCTCCCATATTTTCTACGCCACTGATTAAATTTCGATTATTTCCAATTTCTCGAATTCATTGTTCAATTGCATAGTAATATTTCATCATTTTCAGTATTAGAAAATTGCAAAAATATTTTCCTGGTGTTGAGTAGATTAGATATAGCTGAACAGAAATATATACGAAAATTTTTGTAATTTTCTACTATACTGAGGAAGATGAAATATTACTATGCAAACTTCTATTGAAATGTCATCAGTGGCGTAGAAAATATGGGAGGAAAAGTTATCACAACCCTCTGTATCGCACCTCTGGATAACATTCTCGGAATGTCTTTCTGGTCAAAAAAATAACCATATATTGAAAGATGAAATAACCACATACAGTGTGACCCATTTAAGATGGAAGCACCCTTATAAAACTTACATTTTTCAACCGATTGGAATGATTTTTTTTTGTTAGGTAGATATTCAAAAAGTCTATTAGGACACCAAATATCGTGAATAAATCTCCATTTCCAGGGCCAACTAATCTGATTTTTCAAGGTCAAAAATCTAAAAAAATTACTAGCGATTTTTTTAGAAAAAATCTGACTACACCACTGGATTTGTGACATTTTCAAATGGGTAACATGTAAATTACGTTGAAATGCGTCAATCAATAAAAAAGTTATAAAGGAATGAAATTTGAAAAATATGCCGTTTAATCAACCCATCAATTTTTATTACTGAACAGATTTCGATGAAACTGTAATCAGTAATATTTCAAGACATCCTGAATCCAGTGGAGTATACAGAATTTTCATAAAATTCCTGAACATGAATTGGTGGGTTGATTAAACGGCATATTTTTCAATTTTCATTCCTTTATAACTTTTTTATTGATTGACGCATTTCAACGTAATTTACATGTTACCCATTTGAAAATGTCACAAATCCAGTGGTGTAGTCAGATTTTTTCTAAAAAAATCGCTAGTAATTTTTTTAGATTTTTGACCTTGAAAAATCAGATTAGTTGGCCCTGGAAATGGAGATTTATTCATGATATTTGGTGTCCTAATAGACTTTTTGAATATCTACCTAACAAAAAAAAATCATTCCAATCGGTTGAGAAATGTAAGTTTTATAAGGGTGCTTCCATCTTAAATGGGTCACACTGTATATTCAATTTTTCTTATGATATTGCGAAAAAACTATTTTGATTTCTTAACTTCAACGCCCTGTATCTCGAGAACTGAACACCTGAAGACCGTATATATGTCCCTAATAAAGTGATTATGAAATCACGAGGGCTATCAAGCGTTGTCGGTCGAATTTCGCAACACCCTGTAGACAGCCCCTATAATAATAGGTTCGGTCAGGCGGAGAACACTTTGTATATCAATACAAAAGGATGAAGGATAATAACATGAATATCATAATTTGATACGATTCTGGATAATATACAGGGTGTCCGCTAAAAGGAGGTCAATCCATTAACCATATATTCCTTGAACAAAAACAATATGAGTTTCTAAATACCATTTTTCATTTTAGCCCTTCATATTCGATATACACGGTGTCAAAGTTGAAAATTAAAAACTGTTTTTTTTTTCAATTACTCGCGTATCAAGTAAGATATTAATCTCAAAATTGATACATTACTTCAGCACAAAGAGTTACATCGTGTGAGGAAAACAAAACAGAAAATAACTGTCAAATATTCAAGATTCTGGGGGTCAAGTACACACCTACCCCCATATTTTTTTTGTACGTACGCTAACGACTTCTTTTCTCTTTTTCTTCAAGTCTTCAATCATTCTTGAGTATTTTTTGTCTCTTGTAAAATTTCGACAAAATTATTTGTTTTTAAGATAATTCGAAAAGTACTGGTTATTGTTTGTTGCCTATGCGGCTTTCGGTAATCTTATAATCCTCACATACTCCTATTTATTTCGTCGAAATTGGAAGAAGGCGTAATTTTTCACGTACGAAAAGGTCAATATGGAAATACTGGGTACTCAGAGCGAATGTATTAAAATAATTTTTACAAAAAAAAATGATAGAAATTCAATATAAGACTCGATATAAGATTACCATAATAAACCGCATAGGCATGAAACAATAACCAGTACTTTTCGAATTATCTTAAAAACAAATAATTGTATCGAAATTTTACAAGAGCAAAATAATACTCAAAAATGATTGAACACTTGAAGAAAAATAGAAAAAAAGTCATTAACGTACGTACAAAAAAAATATGAGGGTAAGTGTGTATTTGACCCCCAGAATATTTGACAGTTATTTTCTGTTTTGTTTTCCTCACACGATGTAACTCTTTGTGCTGAAGTAATTAACCAATTTTGAGATCAATATCTTATTAGATACGCGAGTAATTGAACAAAAACAGTTTTGAATTTCCAACTTTGACACCCTTTATATCGAATATGAAGGGCTCAAATGAAAAATCGTAATCAGAAAGTCACATTGTTTTTGTTCAAGGAATATATGGTTAATGGATTGACCTCCTCTTAGCGGGCACCCTGTATGTCGAATGGAATGTTCATATTATATAATATTGATTGTGTGTGATGAAGGACATATTGTCTACCAGAATATTCTAAAATAAGTATATTTGAACATTTTCATTCTAGAATTTTCCGTTTCGGAAGCTCGTAGGAACGTTTTTTCAGAATATCATCAGAATATTCGCAGGGAATATTCCATGAATGAAAATATTATTTCATGAACATTCTGCAATATATCAGGAGCTCATTCTTGGAATGTATACTTCCATATAATATTATTTAGAATATTCGCATGGAACATTCCATAAATATGCAACATTCTGAGAACATTCTATGAATATTCTTCAGAATATAACTTTTCCGCAGCTTTTACATCACAAATGATATATCGCAATCACATTGCAAAAAATATATCGCTGTTATATCACAGAGAACTTATCGCCGCGACGTCGCATAGATGAAACTTGAGTGGGACAAAATAACATCCTTCTGACATCGCAGCGACGTCTTTGTGACACAGAATGCGATATCGAAAGTCACAATAATTGTTATATATCGCTGCGATATCTCTGTGCTGCCTGAGGCACTTTTTTGCTTCATCTCACCCCTTACACCACGAATTATTCCCCTCCCCTCATCCCCATGGAACAAAGCTGTAAAAGAATCTTGACAATCCTAAAAAGCCTGACATTCCTAACTTTCTTCAGTAAACTCAGGCACTGTTCGGTGACTCAGGCCGTGCCGCCGTGCTCAGGCCCTTAGATCATTACGTCACGGCTTACGGCTACGTCAGAGACTTGTCAGAGACAACTCTGGCCTACGGAGTTATAAGGATTACGTGGGAATCGAAACGTAAACAAAAACAAACAGTGAGAGAACCGTGATCAACAATAACACAATGCAGCGTACATACATCTAATGTATGTACGCTGCACAAAGTAAATAAGTAGGTAAAAATAAATGGGGTACCGAGCAAACAAAAAATATTTCTAAAAATAAAGTGTGGGTATACAAGAATGACTCGTCATAAACAAATCCACAATACAAATAATAATCAAACTCAGGATTTCAAGAATTCACCGAATCAACAATCAAGGTATGCAATTCACGCAACCCTGAATACATCCGCGTATGTGAATTGCTGGCAATTCTTTCGTGTAACATCAAAACGTCAAATTCTAGTGTCATGTCCATGTGTAAGTAAATAACATATTTCGTTTATTGTTATGACCAGGAACCTGAATTACTCATTTATTGTTACAAACAGAAATCTAAACAGTCCATATTTTCTGTTTCTGTTTTGAAATGGTGTGAAAGCATCGAACTGGTAAGATACACATACTTTAATGTTTTGGAATTTGTGAGGCTGCTCAAAATTTATTGTATGCTTTGTATATGCGTTGAACAAATTGTTTCTAACAAGGCAAATCTGCTTTTATCATGTATCTACGTCAACAGATTTTTTTATAAAAGATGAAAAGAAGTACTAGTAGTTTCCTTGTTGATAGTCACAGGCGATATTATTTTATCTGAATTTTACTAACCTATTTTGTCTTCCTTTTGGTATTTTTGTAAATTTACAGTGACTCAGCGAGGATCAGGGGTATTTTTAGTTGGTAAAATGAATACCCTAGCCGGGAATGTGAAACACAAGTATTCCAATGTAGGATCATCCATTCTGAAATCCATTGATCCAAATATTAACAATGACAACCCTAAAGCCCATGCTGGTGAACCTATTTGCAATATGTCAGAAGGTCTGCAATCTTTGAATCTATCAGATGATGAACATGAAGGGTCTGAAAGTAGTGAAAGTGTTCTGCTACTTGATGATTGTGAGAATCTGCGAATGAACACAGAAGCTAGTTTTCTTGCAGCTTTGAACATTCCCCAGAATGAAAAAGTCAAAGTGGTGTCTATATTTGGGAATACTGGTGAAGGAAAATCATATACTTTAAATGAAGTTTTCTTCAATGGGGAACAAGTATTCAGAACTTCTCCATCACAGACTTCTTGTACACTGGGTGTATGGGCAAAGTACCATCCAAAACTCAAATTAATTTGTTTGGATACAGAAGGTGCATTGGGTGAGTACAAATTTCCACTTACCTTGCTTGAGTTTTCCTTATATTGTTGGTTATAAACAATGATTTTTTGCTCCCACTTAATGAATACATAAACCTATAGACTCAGCTCCACTCAGTATTCAATATTGTATTATACAGGGTGTAACTAAATAAGTGTAAAACATTCGAGGGGGTGATTCCTCATCGAAAAAAAGATAGGATCTTTCATATAAAGAAACTTCATTGGAGCATCTCATATCAAGATACAGCCCCTTGAAGGGGGTACATAAAATTTTTTTAACAATTTTTTTCACAAGCACTAAAGAAGTTACAGTATTGAAATTATTCTGACATTTTTTACTACCCAAAAGACACTTAGCCAGTAATTTATTTGGTTTATCCCATGGTTGTAAGGGGTGGAAAACGCAACCCCTAGATTTTATTTCCAATGTAACTTTTTGTCTCATCATTTGTTTACCATTTAAAAATTTATTTCCGATAGCCTGTTTCATTCTAAACAAAAAATGCCACTTGAATTTTTTGCCCAAAATGAACCAGTTCGCAGCAAAAAATCGCCATAAAACGAAAATACGAAACCAATTTAGTAGGCCGCTATTAGCGATAGTGACAATCAAATTGGCATCAAGCTGTCAGTTGGTGAATTTTTAAACTTGAAGTAATACTAATTGTGTATTGTTGTTCTGTTCTCAAATTGTGAGAAAAATTGTTAAACAAATTTTATGTACCACCCAAGTAGCTGTATCTTAACATGGGATGCTCCACTGAAGTTTCTTCATATGAAAGATCCTATCGTTTTTTCGATAAGAAATCACCCCCTTAAATGTTTTACACTTATTTAGTTACACCCTGTATATCATATACCTCCTAAAAAATAATTGCTCAATAAAAAATTGATGTATGGACACTTTTGAGAAACATTCTCCAGAGAATGTTGTATGTACTTGATAATATTTAAATTTATTTTATATGACTAACAATCAAGCTATCAATATTCACTGATAGATCAAAATGTCTCCTTATTTTTGCAATACTTTTCTGGTAGCATATTATACAGATTTTGTGATAAAAGATTTGAAGACTAGAAGAACTATAAATGAATAGATGTTACTTTCAATGTTACTTTACATTTCAGCAAAATCCAATCATTTTTCATGACAATGAACAATGATACATAATAATTTAATTAATCACTTCCTTCATGATCTCAATGATGAGCTAACACCAAATTTGAGAAATATCTATGGTAACATACCTATGTCTTAACTGATCAGCCTGTTTCAGTGAACAATGCTATTTCATTATTTTGAAGTACTAACATGAACTAGCTCTATATTGCAATCTCCTCATAGCTTGGTAAATTTTTCAAATAATAATGTGTGAGTCTGATAATGAATTATTGGCGTTAAAATACTCCACTGTGTCCTTAGCAACCTAAATAAATATTTGCAACACTTCTAACGCTTTTTTCATGTAAATTATAATTATGTCTTGTTCAAGATCCTGGAATTCCAGATCTCATTTCAAATGTTACGTCATGACCGTCATTTGGCTATACATGGAATAAATGGTGATGTCAGTTTTTATGCTGTTTTTTTATTGGTCAGAGAATCTTCCATTTCCACTAATGAAGCAAGGTTGTCAAGTCACCAATTATAATCAAGTTATCAAAATATGTTTGAGTCCTGTCATTGTATAAAACATAATAGGAGGAACTCATGATATTATAGTTCATTTTTTACTTTTGAGCTACCAGCATGTCCAAATATTCCTTATTTTCCATACCAAAATACAACGTGAATGTTGGAGACTTGGCAACAATGGTGTAAATTAATATAATCATTATTGACACAAATTTATTATAAGCAATAAGCTACAAATCATAAGGAAACATTTTGAGAGAATGGGCTTATATCACAAAAAAAAATTATTTGATAATTCGATAGAACTCACCCAAACTAGCTCACCACCGCAAACCGTTTCTTGCTGTGAGCTCCCTACGTTTTATAAAAAATTATTGAAATCCTCGATTTTTCGGACCTCTGAAAACGAGGAGATGATGTGACGTCAAAACCCTAATACTGAAACAAGACTATTCCAGACAGAGATAAATGATACATGATTTCTGACTGAGTGAATTAGCGCGAGATCACAGTTGAAAGAATTAATATATCAGTTGCCTGTTACCTCAGTCTCCGTCGGGCGTTTGGTATTTTCTTTTAACGATGGCGAGATGAGGTTTCTACGTCATAAGAGGGTCTGTTTTCAGAAGGTACTATTATTTACTCGATTATTTATGTCCAAAAATAAAACATTCCAGTTAATTTTTCGATCGAATTATGTCATCAATCAGTATTTATGTATAAAAGGATCATTATAAAGATGGTTTGAGTTAAAAGTTCTACTAAGGTGTACACGCCCATTGCATTTATTGTTAATTAGGAATAATAGGAATACTATTGAGAATTCATGAATTATTGAATAACTAATATTTCAGAAGTTCCCAATCATATTTCAACGCATGACAACTGTGCATTGCCCCTATTTACGAAATCATGGTGTTAGTTTTCACTGGCGGTAAATTTTTTAGCCGTTTGAAAATTACCGTGGCATTATTCAAGGTTTTAGCACCTAAAAATCGACCGAAAAATTCTTGAAGAATATATACAGGGTCGCTGATATGTATGGAAACAGGTGAATATCTTAGTAACATGTTGTTGGATTTTTTTGAATTTACGTACAGTGTGATTTCAAAACGTGGCGGATTTGGAAGTGTTATAGCCAATGTTGCCACTTTTTCAGTTATTCCGGATTTTTTATTAACTTCCTTATTTTGAATGAAACACCCAGAACTTTATTGAATTTTCAGATTCTCCTTGAAGAGCTGATTCCATCGATCTATCACACTTGGGGGTCTAGCGTGAATGATAGGTATAGGGTGCTTAAAATCTAGATTTCTCAACTTTAGGATTTTTTGTGTCGAAACTATCCATTATCGATCGAAACCGCTCCAATGTTCCTATATTTTCAAGATTCAGAATTCTGATCACCCTCTGTATCTGTTCCATTTGAATGTCAGTAGATAGTAAATCAAAAGTAAAGATAGGAATATTAGAGCGGTTTTGATCGATAATGGATAGTTTCGATAAAAAATAATCCTGAAGTTGAAAAATCTAGATTTTAAACACCCTATACCTATGTAATCATTCCCGCAAGACCCCAAGTGTGATAGATCGAAGGAATCAGCTCTTCAAGGAGTATCTGAAAATCCAATAAAGTACAGGGTGTTTTATTCAAAATGAGGAAGTTAATAAAATTCCGGAATAACTGAAAAAGTGGCAACATTGGCTACACTTTCAAATCCGCCACATTTTGAAATCACACTGCACATAAGTTCAAAAAAATCCAACGACTGGTTACCGAGATATTCACATGTTTCCATACAAATCAGCGACCCTGTATAAGTGAAAGGTATTTTGATTTATTATTTTATTTGAGAAATCAAAAAAAAAAGTCCACTGGACTTTAATTGAAATTCAGGATATTTCATAACATGAAAAATGCTGAACATATAAAACTCCAACAATATGACTCATGTATTTTGTCCAGTATTTTGTGTATCTCAGTACACTCCTACTGTGGAGATGAATTCTCATTTCTATGTGGAATTTTTATTTTCATTGGTTACTGAAAAATATGTGGACACTGGTTATCTTCTCAGTTACTGAGGTAGACAACATTACCATACTAATTGGAATGCAGTTTTTTTCATTTTGATCAAAGAAAACTATGTCCAACGCATCTCTGTTGCTCAAGATCAGATCAAAAATAATTTTCATAAAATTTTGCGCATCTTTGATGAGAAGGAGGCGAGGATTGCTGCTTTCTTTTTCTTTGCCTCATTTTTAAATTTGTCGCCGGGTGCTAATAGTCCCATCACAGGGCGTTTTGAAGTTTGAAGAAAAATGAAATTGAAGTAAATTGAAATCAAATAAAAATGTAAATTGAATAGTTACAAATAATAATTGTGAAGTGATACTTATAGGAAATGAAATATCCAATGATGATAAACTAAAATTAAGTAGATACCTATATCTTCAGTTGAATAATTCAGAATAGGGTAAAAATTGATAGATGATGAGGTAGGGTGAAAATTGATAGATGATGAGTTAGGGTAAAAATTGATAGATGATGAGTAGTTGAGTTGAATTCGAGAGTAAATTGCAACTTCACAACTATTTTTTCTCAGGGTTGGAAAAAATCATGATTTTTTAAAAAAATTCAAAAATCATGATTTTTATTCAAAAAATCAAAGAAAAACGTGATTTTTTCAGTTTTTTATTCATTTTGAAAAATAATCGATAGGTTTTGATCCATTTTAAGTACCTATGTATCTTTACATGCAAACGCAAACAATAACAAATAGCATTTTCCTGTTTTGACATATCTTGTATTGGTTTATTCTTGTCAGACCTTGCGAAATCCCAAACCTGCCTTACAGTGGTGGGTTTCACAAAAGAATATTCCTGAAGTTGCTAAAGTTCTACCTATTCTGAAACAATTTTTATGTGCTGTCTCCTCGTCCGCTTCGGTAGAGAGAATATTTTCTACATTTGGATTGGTTCACTCCAATTTACGAAATAAATTAGGAGTGGAGAAAGCGGGAAAATTAGTATTTTTGTACAAACACTATAATGAAAATGAACATTGATATTGTATTTTTTTGAGAATATCTATTATTTTTTTCTCAATATTAAGAATATAGTTTTATTTGCAGTTTGTTTGTATTAGTTTAATTTGTATTTTGAGTATATTTTATAGAATAAATAAATGTTATTTCTGATTTCACATTTTTTATTTTATTCAGTGAATAAAATGAAAAAATCACTTGATTTGAATCATTGATTTAACCCGTGATTTAAATCAGGCGAACCCTGTTTTTTCTCAATTAGCCAACGAAATCTTCCATTAGTTTTTTCCAAATGCCAGAGTTTTTCATAATTTCGTTCATCACACAAAATACAAAACAAAATAATCATGGAAAAAGAGGGAATTGATCGCAAAATTACATAATGAAATTGAAAATCTGAAAACGAAACTAAGAAAAGCAATATGATACACTCGGAACGTTTTCGTGATTTTTCCTTAATTGGCCATTGGAACAAAAATTCAATTTTTTTCTTGCATTTCTTGAATTTTTTCTCTATCGAACTCCACTTGACCTGATTATTGGGAAGAATTAATCTCATGTTTTGTGGAGGACAATGAAAGACGAAAAAAACACTATTGTGGAATATACAGGATGATGAGAAAATAGGACAAAATCTCATTTCAGTATAAAAAATCGAAAATGGTGACTAAAACCATGGCCCATTCGATTCAGTATATTCAGAAACGGCCTCCTCGATATCCATTATTTATATTAGGCTATTGACTCGAGACGTTTTCGAAAATTCGCCTCCAATTGAAATACAGGATAAAAATTTTCAATTCAAATTTGTTTCCTGATATCGATGATTCTTATCAACTGATTTCCAATATTTATTGCCCAAGTATGAGACACAGAGTATTGTTGTTCAATATACTGAGTGTTTTACAACTTATCTGATATATTTCAACCACAACTACGATATTACATAAAAAGTCTCACATAAAAATGTTATAGAAGTAGAACGAGATGGAAAATAATTTAAATAATGAAGTTTCACATACAATAAGGAATTATATAAGCTATAAGTTTATCCATATGGGTATATTTTCAAATATTAAAATGTTGTTATATGCATTCTTCTCATTTATATAACAGTTGTTTTGCTAGAAGTGTATCACTATAAATTGAAGTGGGTGTTTGTACCCTATTTCCATTGTCCATCTACGGCTATGATTGATTTGACAGAAAATATAACCTCTAAAATCGTATCTGACAATCAGGCGCTACTAGGGAAATTGAAAAGACAAAGAGCAGGATATATGTCTTATTCTGTTATTCACTCAAACCATTGTATTATAGAAAATAGAGAAGGGCAAAAGTTCAGCTGTGTCCGAACTCTTATCAAACTAATACCATCCAGTGACTCTAGTCAAGAGTAGCCCCAGACCAGACTAACTTCGGAACCCCACATCCAATATTTATATACATCAATTTATCAGATTCGTACGTTTCTCATGAGAGTTTTTATAATTCAATGTCAACGGATGATTTGATTAACTTTATGTTTATAAAACCCCAATGGTTCGAAATTTCTAGTATACCGTATGTTCTACTCGTGACCATATCTCAGTATGATGTTTTTTACAATATGAAGAAACGAATATGTCCTTCAAAAGGTGTATCAAAGAAAGAAAACCAACGAATGAGGCTCCACCTCAAAGTCCTCGCCGTCTCCGACATAATCATCTACCGCACGCGAGCCGAACGGCTCCACCGAGACATGTACAGCTTCCTAGGCGACGCCTCCAAGGCCTACAAGGACCACTTCAGCTCGGCCCTCACCAAAGCCCTGTCGAAGAACGACGGCGACAAGCTAACCAGCGCCATCGGACCCGGCGTCGTCATCTTCCACGAGACCCGACTGACGGACACTTTGCACGACAGCGCCAATCTCACGCAGTCAGCCGAAGACATTCTGCGGTCGACTTTCGCGGACTTGAAGCTGCCCTGCGACGCTTTCAGTTTTCTGAAGTACGTGGGGGTTAGGACCCATGGGGCGCGCACTTCCTTCAAGGAGTTGCGGGTCGCTTTGCTGGACAAGCTCGAGAGCACCGAAGTGAGGACGAGGCGGGACGCCAAATATGTGTATTTAACGTTGAAGGTTAGTTCGATGAATATGAATCACATTCGCACTATACTGTTTTACCACTAACCAAACCGATTGATTTTTTAAACGCGTTTAGCTTACCATGTTAGCATCTTCAGGAGAAGATTATAACTGAATATTCTAACCTAGAGTGCTGCTTATACAGGGTTCCAACGATTTAATAGGGACAGTATTGTTTTTTGCTGAACGGTAAGAGATAGAGGCTGTGTCAAGTCATTCTTTCGACCACAGTGGTGATACCAGGATGGACAACGGTTAACTTGACTCCCATCAAAAGTTAACGTGGTAACTTTGTGGGCAGGTTTGAAACGTGACCGATATTCCCAAATAGCTGGTTGGTCAGACTTCACACTGAACGTATGAGCCCGGTCAAACCACTGACTTGACACAGCCAGAAAGTTGATGAGATTAGACGAAAGTTGCTACCAGTAGCACAGCAATATTTTCTTCTTTTTCATTGTTTCTTTAACGTCGGCTTTTTTCTGCTACTGAGGCTAATCACCGACGCCGGTGAGCACACTACCCCATGAGGTACGATATACCTGTAACATATCCGTCCAATCTATTTTTTCAGTGTACGATATACCATATATCAATACAGTATTCCTGTGTAACGTATGATATTTGTCAATAATATATGGTCGAAATTGGAAGAATTTTATTGAACCACTTGGAACACTTCGGAAATCGTTTTCTTTGTTGGGTCAGTGTGTAATTATATTTTAACTAAAATCTAAGAGAGAAAAAAAATTAAAAATATTCAATTCATTTTGAACAACTTGAAATTTTGACTCATAAAAAAATTTAAACTACGAATTTCTTCAATGAAAAGAAGAAATGGAGGGAATACTATGAATATGTGATAATTTCAAACTTTGTTCCATTATTTTGCGTTTGCTAACAGTTTCTGAAAAAGCAATTTCATCTTTCATAATAATATACGCCGGGTGACACCTGGATCGGTCCTTCTGCATTCGTAAAGGAATATTTCTGAAATTGTCAACATTTTCACATGAAGCAGAGCCAAAAAACAGTACACATTCGAAAATGATTTTTCCTACTCACATAACTAAAATGTCATTTATCGTACGTATATGTAGCACACTAAATGATCGATTAATCAAGGATTGATGATCTGTGATTTATTCAAAATATTAAACACGTGACCATGACAACACAATTTCGTAAACACACCTTCAATCGTTTGAGTCCTGTCCTGTCCTGTCCGGCCTGTCAATTGTAGGGACTGTCAACTGTCATTTTCTAACTTTATGGCAATTGGAATAATTCAAACAATTTCTGCTTTTATCTGAATTCTTCATTAAAAATGTATGCGAAATATAGACGTTAGTGAAATTGAAGAGGATGTTTTATGTAGGTATTTCCAAGAACTCTAGGTGAAAATGAAGCTCTCATCTTTGTGGGCAATTCATTCTATGTTAAACATGACGATAAACGTTAAGCACAATATTCATGTGATGTGATACAAACCTGAGAAATCGAAAACTTTGACACCTCAGCGAATCGAAGAGTTTTTATCTACTATGTCATATGAAATCTTATTCACGAAGGTCAGTAAACAAGCCATTTCAATAGAAAATGTATCTATCCTAAGGACTAGACGCACATCTACAACCAATATAACTCATGCGTGTCTCGTTGGTTGCATGCAGTTGCATAGTATTATGTATTATGTTCCCAATTCCCATTCCTATCGAATTATTTTGTGGGTTAGCAATTCGTAGAAAAAGTATAGTATGTAACGGGCTTATAAACTCTTCTAAACACTCGTTTATTAAACACTCGCTCGGCACTTGATACAGAATATACTATTATTTATGTTTTTAGCGTTCATGTGGAAATGTCAGAATGTTATACATAGCTGTGAAGGGGATTGTTAGTCCTATTCAATGGTATTAAAATCAAATATGGCACCCATAAGAAAAACAAAATTTGCATGGTGAATATCTGAAAATAATAAAGATAGAATATTTCTGGTAATCCCAACTTCTTTCTTTTGATTAATCAACTACTGTTTACACAAAATATCAGTATTTTTTCAGTAAATAGTTCAGGAACAGCTGGCATTTTTCTAAATTGCAAAACTTCATATTGAAGAAGTTCAAATTACTTTCTATCTCTTACCGTTTAGAAAATAGCAATATTAAATCTATGAGACCCTGTATACTGTTCACCTAACCCTAAATCACTAGAAAAAATGAAGGGATATAAAGAATCAGTTCACTTGCCTGTTACCGTACAAGTAGGTACAAGGTGTCCCACTTGAATGTGTCACCCACCCTTCATTCTCAGGGAAAACAAATTTTTTCAAATGAGATGATCTAAATTTTTTTCCATATTTCGATGGAGCTCGTCAATCTGAATTCAAAAATATAATTATATCGTTCATATATTATTATCGAATGAAATATAGGAAACAACCGCAGAACAAAAAAAATTATTATGTGGTCAACAAAGAAGTAATAATGCCTGGTAGTTAGACATCAACAACAATAATGATAATCAGCTATAATAAGTTTTCTATATATCCTCCATTATTTTGGATGCAAATATTGGATCTTTTGATGAAATTTCTCACGATATTCTCGTAAAAATTGGAATGACTCAATATATATATTTGTTCTCTGAGTACCTAACTCCTGAAAGTTTTCCCTATTACCAATATCCTAATCGTAAATTTTTTGCTTCAAAGCCCTCCAAAGGAAGAAATCAAGTGGATTGAGGTCCGGACTGCGGGCCGGCCATGAAATCGTAGGATATCGATCACTGAGAAACCTTACGACAGCCCATGTGTTATGCGGAGGAGCGCCATCTTGCTGCCAGATTAGATTTATTCTTTGGATATGAAATTTTCGATTCCGCCTTGCAGCAGTAGTACTTAAATAATTGTGTCCTGTGAGGGTACCTCCGATGAAAACAGGACCAATTAGTTCATTTTGTTAAATGCCACACCATACGTTTACTGTTTGACGACCCTGTTTCCTTATTTCTCTCACTGCTTTGGGGCTTTCTGCTGCCCACATGTGAGAATTTTGTCGATTGAAAAGTCCTGAGGTTGATGAAGAAGGTTCATCGGTCCATAATATATTTCCCAAGAAATCATTGTCCAGATTATGCATTTCAAGCATGGTTCGGCAAAAATTGAGCCTGTTTTCTCGATCTCTTGGAAAAAGTTGCTCAACAGGTAGGAATTTGAATGATTGCAGATAATGCATCTTCAAAATTCTTCGTACTGAGCTTTTCGAGACCTCCAAAGTATTCGCAGCTGATCGAATTGAATCTCTAGTATTCTGTTGAAAATGCAAGAGAATTTCTTGTTGCTTCTCTTCCATAGCTATTGTTGATTGTCGAGTCCTCTTTCTATCTGCCGCACTCTTCTGACGCCTGAATTTTGTAACAATATTGCGGAAGGTTGTTCGGGACGGAACTGGCCTTTCCGGATAAATTTGGGTGTAAAGTCGTTTAGCAGCAGTTGAATTTCCATTACACCAGTCAGTGAGAAACTTCCAGTATATCGCATCTTTCTTCCAGTGAGTGTCTCATTTTTTAATAAAATCTGATAGCTTGTAAATAAACTTGTCATATCATGACAAGAGAGTAGCAATCATGGCCCTCTTAGGGTGACTTTATAAAAACTTTCAGCATTCAAGATTTAACATTTAAACATTTAAGACTTAAGAGTCTTAAGTGGAGACAGTTATAAAAAAAATTATGATTCTACGGCGATAAATGTGTTCAGTCATTACTGACATCTAGTTTCTGATACAGAACCAGATTTTCAGAGTTTAGTAAGTTTGAAACTGGTTGGAAATCGAAATTTCATGTTCTGATATCATTCTATTAATTTATATTTATATCCCTAAAATATAACCCACATCCATTATATCTTTACATAATTTTGAAAGTAATCACTATTCCTTGCCTAACAGAAACTGGCTCACTCCTTGGATCTTTTGCCAAATATAGAGGCAACAGAGTTGCGACATTCTAGTGTATTTTTGAAGAACGGTTTAGTATCAATCAGAAGAAAAACAAATATTCAGGAATAACAACACAAGATATTTTGAATTATTTTTGAATGGCGGGAAATTGAGATGTCACTTTTGGATGCGCACTCCTTATTCCATTTATGATCATTTATCAGCACTAGTTGGAAGTTGGTCATCTTTTTGAATCTTAAATGTTAAATCATAAGTCTTAAATTACTTTTTAACATAACCAATGATATTTCCATGTTCCATCTGTCATAAGTGATAAGCTTTAAATGTTAGGTGATAAATCTTAAGTCTTAAAGTTTTTGATAAAGTGGCCCTTAGACAAAACTAGGTTAAGATGAGCAACTACTGTATTCCCTTAGTTTTATTACCAGCTATAATGTTATGCATGATAATAATATATGAATGATATATATCTTTGAATTCAGATTGACGATCAAATTATGGAAACTAATAAAGGGCATTTCATTTGAAGAAAAAAATTCTCGAGCTGCCCTGTATTTTGTAGATACAGAGAAAAAGTGAGCTCAGATTAAAAAAACTCGCAAAAAATAATTCCAGAAAAGTTTTTGAATGACGAGAATATGTTGAGAATTATGAGAATAAAGGGGGGTGACACCTTTAAGTGGGGCACCCTGTACTAACATTTATGTAAAATATCTCTAAAATGTTCAGTTGTAATACAAAAGAGTTTAAGTTAAGTTTTTGGGAAAATGTGTTGCAGAGTATTAACGACAAATTCAAAAACCAAATCAGCAACACGACACCGCAGATGTACTTGCCAGCATTTTTTACTTGTCCCGAGAAATGTCAGTCCTGTAAGAGCAGTTGTAATATGTCTGTGGGCCACAAGGAGGAAGGGGAACCACACCAGAGTAAACAGGATTGCACTTTTCAACATCAGTATCAGAATTACGTGTATCTTTGCAAGGTAATTTTTTCTTCATTCTCAGTTGGTATAATAATTTAGCCTTATCAGTCTGGTAACGACCAACTGATCAACTTCGAGTCTATTTTATAAACCGAGGTGAACACCTATGACACATTAATATATTGATTTTTTAGAAAAACTGAAAATAGTATCCTTGTAACTCAAAAACCTTTGGAGTTAGATATAGGTAACCCTGGAACATAGTTCAGCTAGAATTCAGTTATTTGAAAATAGACAGACCGTTTGATTTGAAAAAAAAATGATTTTTGGGGCTTTTGCCCCTGTTGATAGTTTTTGACTATGATGTTCTAAATTCTCAGAGTTAAATTTTAAAGGGAACATCGACCAGCTGACTTGATGAATCAAGTCAGTTATAATGAATGCATGTGTACCTAACAAAATTCGACGAAAATATTTATTTCATCCCGTATATCGAGAACCATTTTCTACACGACAAAACAAAAAACAAGCATATACTATTTTCAATGTTTGTAAGATTGTTGGAGTTATTTCATAAACAAACAAAACAAAATATTCGTGGTTGTACATCTCAAGCTTCCTGCATAATTACAAATCGTGTCAGTTTAACAGAATAATCCTCCCGCTTCTCGGTCGGATTATTTCAACTGTCAAACTGACACTTTGTAATTATGCAACAAGCTATCGATGTATAACCCGAATATTTTGAAGTTCTTATAGTATTACTACTGAAAATATGTATATTTCCTCAATATCATTCCTATTACTGCGTCGCTTCTCATTTCTCTGTCCTGCTCCATCATGAGACCTGGATCATCACTTATCTCTAACTATAACCTATTCATTTAGATTATTTCAACAAAAGCAAAAAGGAATGAGTCAGTCATGTGAGGTAATGCTGTGGCATCAAGAAGAAATAAAGCGTTGAGAAATTCGAAATAGAAATGAAAAAATCAAATCAAGAACTTATCCATATTCAACAGTGTCCAGAAGGAACAACATTATATGTACTACAGATAAAATTATTCATTGACTGACTCATGATTTGAAATAATTATCTAATTATGTCAATCCTCTTTTTTGATGTATGATGAATATTCATTATACAGGACGTGGAAAGAAATTCTCAGAAGTTCCTTCCACGTTCTGTATGATGAATATCAATTTATCATACATCCAAAAATAATCATTTTCGATGGTTGCAGGTGTGCCACCGGAACGGCCAACGCAACATAGTGAAACCCAGCTACCAAACGATGACGGACAGCTCGTGGAGCGGCTACTTCAGCTACGCTTGGTCCGGCTACGTGATCGAGTGTCCGCGGTGCGGGGAGATATACAGGAGCCGGCAACACTGGTACGGCAACAAGAGCCCTGAGGACGTGGCCGTGAGGACGGAGGTGGTGCACGTGTGGCCGGGGGTAAGTGTAATTGGTTGGGTTTCGGGGTGGTCTGTAAGTGCTTTACTCTGTCGCATATCGAAAAGGAATCTGTTGTGTGCGATCTCAGCCAAGGTTGGTCGAGCTGATGATTGTTTAAGAGTCTATTTAGTCAACTTTGGGCCGGTTGCATAAAGAAAAATTAATCATACAATCAACTGATGCCACAATAACTTTGCTGTTATGTTGAATGTCATTTGCGTTGCATAAACAATCTGATGTTATAGTAATCATTCCATTTACTAATGACGAGAAGCGAGTGGAAACAGGCGCTAATCTGTCTTCTCCTTGCGTTCCACGCATTGTTGATACGCATTTTAGGTTAGGTTTATTTACTTGATTTTCATTCAGATTGACAGAAGTTACAAAAATAATGGATAATTCGAAGAAAAAACGAGGGGCAAATTAATAGAGATTGTTAAAAAGTACCCAAGTGAAGTTCTGCATAATACCTAGGTATGATTTTAATATTTTGATTGATATCTTTCGTTCAAAATTCATGAAGCTATTATATTTATCTTGTCTACAGGTATAAAAATATTATTGAATGCAAACAATCGGATGCGATATGTCTGAAAAGAAAACGAGATACATGGATAGAAATGCAGAATGAGTTCAATTCCATTACAACTGGTTTAGAAAACCTGACTTGGATATTGAAATCATTGTCATCATACATTTCGAATGGATTGTTTCTATTTCAAAAGGTTCTTGGCCTGGGAATCAGTAGTTCTTCTTCAGATAGTGAAGACAATGATGAGATAGACGGTCTCAATAATATAACAGTCATTTACTTACATTATTGTGTTTGTTCATTTACTCACATTATTGTGTTCAATTACCTACCCTACCTTTTTGAAATGAAACAAGAACTAAGAACTCCAACCTTTTCTTCAGATTCTGCAAAAATTTTGTGAAGTATTCAAAATAATTAGGCGACACTTTCACAAGTCATTTGCTGGTTGTCACTTTAATCAGTGGTCGAACACAAATAATTGATGAGCTTTTATGCAACCGGCCCTTTGTCTTTATCTCAAATGTCAGTCTCATTCGTTGTCTCAGTCTGCATCTCAAAGAATAATGACATGACTATTTATACAACTTATGATATTAGGTATAAGGACCTTGACCTTGACCTAGTGTTAGACACTGCTGGTCCGAATTTGTTTGCACGCATTGACGACTATTGATTTGGACCGAATTTTGAGCGCGCTCATGAAATCCTCTACATAACCTCACATCTCACATGAAAATCTATTCCTTGACCAACAAAAATCATAGTTTGTGTAAAAATGGAGAAACTTTGGTGAATATTTTTCTCACTATTGACACAGTGATGACGATACCGTTATCGAAATAATATTTCTTCGTCAAGTACTGATGATGAGGAAGCTGATGCAGCAGTTGGATACTATAATGCGTTCGTTCAATTTCATACATATAGATACCAATTGATTTTGATACCTTGTAGTTGTCTCTGTATTCTGTACAACAGTATTTATATCAGTACTTTTTCCCCATGTATACTTTTTCAAGTGATTATTTTTTTTAACAATGGTTTTTATATTTAAAATAACCAAAGGTCTTCAACCAACATATTTTAATGAATTTTATGTTTTCAATAACCAAATACATGAACACGAGACAAGATCAAATGCATATTTTCATATAATTATATAGAACTCATACTGGTGGTGGCATAAAAAATTTATTCTTCAAGGAACTACGGGAATTTAATAATTTACCAAATGCCATTCAAGTGGCAAATACTGTGAAAGGGTTCAAGAGTAAATTGTTGGAATATTTAGCACGTTAGTTGGTTGAAATTATGTATGAGTATGTGTGTATTTCATTATATCAATGTTTTTTATATCTCTTATTATGTATCTTCGTTTGTACTTTTTTGTCGTCTTTATTTTTATTTTAATTACTGTTATTCACTTTCAGATTTTAATCATGTTATTTACATTCAGATTTGAATTTTATTAATATTTCTGGCACTGTGTGAAACTCTAAATTATCATTATGTATTATATTTATTGTAAGATTAGGATATATCCTATAATAAAGATTACTACCTTTCTTCAAAATGTATCACGAAACAGTAATGACACTATTGACAGCAGCGCTTAGACGTCTAAGCGTTAATCGGACCAATCATAGCGTGCTCAAAGCGATTTGAGTGCGATTCGGACCGCGGTGTATATGTCTATATTCTGAATTCGACTAGTGTGTACAACTCCATTGTACTAATCAATCATCATTTCAATAGATTGAATGCATCTCAATTCTGAATTGTAACCATCCGAAGTAATAAAATGATAAACAATCAGCTGTTGTTTATGTGTTGGTCTGTCGGATGTCGAAATGCCGTAGCACATGCGCATTGGGGCAGGTTTCCCTTTTAACTTTGCGCTTTGTTCACCTCTCTTATTTTGTGTGCCTTGTCTGACTGTTTTATCTGTAAGGTTTGTCAATCTGTGTCTCTACCATTCACTTGAATTCTCTCATCTGAAGACATTTCTTATGACTTTTATTAAGTAGTGCATTGACGTCGTGGTCTTAGTTTTAAACATAAACGATTGAAATTGGGAACTCTCAAGGTCACGATTTTAGGACTGAGAGTTGAGAATGTGACAAAAACTGTTGAATAAATGCTCTTATGCGAATGTGTAGAATGAACTTGGTTTGAAGACTAAAAATAGAGTAAAGACTGAGACTGAGAAGAAGACAAAGTTGACTAAATAGACACTTTGTCTTGTGCATAGACCATTCAGGATCACGTTTCGCTTAAATGGACTGCAAATCGCCTTCATTAACTATGTGTGGAAAATACATCAACATTAAAAAAGAGTTAAAGTGTAAAAACTGACGCCACGATTTCGTAAGTAGGGGCAGACCATAGCTCAGTTGTCATGTGATTGAGAACTTCAGAAATATTAGTTATTGGTAATACTTCTAACTCGACTCCTAATTAGCAATAAAACTTCAATTGTCTCAAAATGTTCCCCTATGATTTGTGGCTTATTGTTTTTAATAAATTTGTGTAAATAATAATTATATTAATTCACACTAGAGGACATTTGAATCGGTGAACGTGACAACCACGGCGCACGACTTGTGGGCGTGGTCTTGTCAGTTCTCAGCATTCAGCACAATGTTGCCAAGTCCTCAACATTCACATGATATGTTGTTATGGAGAATAAGAAATATTTGGACATGCTGGTTGCTCAAAAAAGTCAAGAATGAACTATAATGTCATGAGTTCCTCCTATTATATTTTATTCAACGACAGGGCTCTTACATCTTTTTGATAACTTGATTATAAATTGGTGACTTGACAACCTTGCTTCATAAGTGGAAATGGAAGATTATCTGACCAATAACGAAACAGCGTAAAAGCTGACGTCACCATTTATTCGACGTATCGCCAAATGGTGGCCATGACGGTACGTTTGAAATGAGCTCCAAAATTCAACAATGGTCGAGTGGACTGATGATGAATTATTGGCATTCAATTACTCCACTGTGTCGTTAGGAACCTTGATTAATTTTTGCAACGCTTCTCACGATTATTTTATGTACATAATAAGTCTATGCGTTGTTCAAAATCGTTGAATTTCAGAGCTCAATTCAAAGGTAACACGGGCTATATTTCGAATTCAACTGACAGAACTGAATCTTCATTTCACTTGATTTTTTGGGATTTTCTCCTCGTTTCTATAAAATAAAAATATGCGTATTTTTTTATTTGTAGTGGTACAAATCAGATCATTTGCCCCAAAATGTCACTGCGTTTAACAAATTCTTCTATCAGGGAGCCTAAAAGAAAAATCCAGTAGCTTGTCAGTGACAATTTGTTTGAAAAATGTTTGAAGGAAAGAAATATAGATATATTGAAAAAATATCGAATCTTTACTTATCTTTGTACGTTTCGGGATCGAATCTGCTCCCGTTCTCAACATAAAAATGCAAAATATTTCTCTTTGGAAGTTGCTGCTTATAGTTTGACACTTTTCAGTGTCATACTGATGTTGGCTTATGAATGAGTGATTTTAGTCTACAAATGACAGGATGTTTTCATTAATTGATCTTGAATCTACCATTTTCATGTTCAGTTTTCAGTAGTGAATACCATGTTCTATCTATATCTACTGAACAGGAAGCAATGCTATTGTCTCCGTTCAGAAGAATGCTAGCGGATTCCTTGATTTTTCTTTTTTGGTTGTTCTCTTCCTTGATATTCCACTCTGCCATATGTTGTCCATCTCCATCAATAGCATTGCTTCCTGTTCAGTTGAAATAGATAGAATATGGTATTCACTACTGAAAACTGAACATGAAAATGGTAGATTCAAGATCAATTAGTGAAAACATCCTGTAACTCATTTGTAGACTAAAATCAATCATTCATATGTCAACATCAGTATGACACTGAAATGTGTCTAAGTATAAGCAGCATCTTCCAAAGAGAAATATTATGCATTTTTATGTTGAGAACGGAAGCATATTCGGTCCCGAAACGTCCAAAGATAAAAAAAATCGATATTTTTTTCAGTATATCTATATTTCTTTTCTTCAAACAGTTTTCAAACAAATTGTCACTGACAAGCTACTGGATTTTCATTTTAGGCTCCCTGATGGAAAAACTTGTTAAACGCAGATTTAATAGAAACGAGGAGAGAAAATCCAAAAAATCAAGTAAAATTAATGTACCACCTCCCCGATTAACCTACAGACAGTATAGAACTGAATCTGCTGATTATTCATTCTGAAATAAAAAAATCCACTGAACGTGACAGATACTTCTGTGCAGACATAGTATTCATTCCAAATATTTCCACTCAACAATCTGCTGAAATTTCTGACGAACCGTCGGTCTCAGAAAGTCCTACAGACTCCCGTGGGGACCACACCCAAGGAGGGTGTGAGCATATTCAAGTAAGGGCCGCATAGGGCTTTGCAAATATGAGCTGCTGTTTTTCTGCTAATTGCTCCGTTCTTGTGTGTTGAGTTCTGAAAATGTTTGGCTCTTGTGATACACTTTTTTATGGCTCTTATTCCTACATTAGCGAAAACTATTAAGAAGTTCGGTTTTCAAGCTGGAAAAGATACAATTGATTATTTTATTTTCTGTTTTGTTTGAGGTCAACACAGAGATAAATGAAAAAATAAGGATATAATTCCCGCTCTCCATAAACCATGTTTATATAAATTACCTTGTTCACATCCTAATTGCAATTCCCACTACATTGGCCAGAGTGGCAGACGGATTCAAACCAGACTCAATGAGCATAATAAATTTATAGAAAAAACTACATTTATCCCTCCCCATGGATGAATATAACACTAGTAGTTCCTTTGCCAACCATATTTTCAACTCCCAACACAATTTCAACATTGACAATAGCTTAGAATTTCTACATGTTTGCCAAAAAGGCCGTTTTTAGAATCTTTTAGAAATTCATGAAATAAATTATTCATTGAAAAATAACAACGTAACTCTGAATGAAAAAAATTCACTTTGATTTTCTCAAATTTTTCAATCCATTGAATTCTGTTAAATAAATGACTTTTGCCTATTATATTTCCCCTTACGTTGCTCTTTGTTGTAGGTCGGCGGATTCAAGACGTCTAATAAAATTATATAAAATAGATTCTCTTAAAGTTTCATATAATATCATAAACAATAATCTAAAATCCAATTTTGTTTTGATAAGAAACTTCTAAAATTATCACATAATACAGGGTGTTTCAGATTTAAATGTACATACATAACTGAGATACAGGACGTTATTTTGATTTAGGCATCATCATCACCTGGTCATAGCTTTTGAACCTAAACCTAAATGAAAATCGGGTTCAGAATCCAGATCCACCTTTAGGAAAAACAGAAAACTTCTTTTATATCAAAAACAACACTCTGTATGGCAACATTTTGTAGATCTGTTTCGATATTGGAAGAGAGCAGGGAAAAACGAATGAAGTGACCTACTTTTCACGACCGCGCATCCGATTTGACAGATGTTTTATTATTATTTTCTGATATACTCGGTTCCATTTTGAGTAATTTTTATTGAACTCGTAATTCAAAATCCAATTATTTCACGAAATTCAAAGTTCAACATAATTGGAGTAAAATAGATAGATCTGTTCGTTCGACAGAAAAACGTCTGTGGTTTTGGAAATTTTTGAGGGCTCGTTTTACTTTTCACTATTGATTCATGAGCTGCGGTAAAGTGGGCTGTGCAAAAAAATCACTAGTTTGATATTATTGGTAACGTTAAGATAATTGTTGGTATACTTGTTCATTGGGTTGTTACATTTCAAAGTGTTTATAACTATGCCTCAACACAATAAACTTAATGTTACCAATAATATCACACTGGTGATTATGATCTGTCAGAGTTTCAAAATTTTTTGCACAGCCTAGTTCACCGCAGCTTATGAAAAAATAATGAAGTATGAAATAAGTCCTCGAAAATTTTTAAAATCATTGACGAGCTATTCTGTCAAACGAACAAATCAATCAATAGTTCACCTGATTAGTGCACGTACACATTGGCGCGTAACTGACAAAAATAGTTTGAACTTTGACACTACTTGTCAAAGTCTATAAGAAGATTATTCATATATTTTTATAAAAAAACACAAATTTTATTTTTCACTTCCATGTGAGTAAGCAATCGTTGCATCTGTATCCTAAGTTGATACTGGTTTTTTTCTAGAACATCGAACTACTTATCGGCTTTGATGATATTTGATCATTTAATAAAAGTTGTGTAGATGACTTTGGGCTTTTCATCTACGAACTACACCACTCCACTTTGAATTACCATGGACTTCTTTCAAAAATTAGAGATTCTGTAATTTATGAAGGCTGTTGTATGTTCAATCATCTGCCAAAAGACTTCAAAGACGTAGGATCCAATAAAAAATTGAAACAGAGAATATCAGCACTCTTTTCGGATAAACCCTATTAAGAATTTTTTAATGATACATTTCAACCATAAAATCATGTTTAACAAGAATGTTTTCATATGTTTTAACGTGTCCCTCTAACTCGTAGGTACCTAATCACGAAAAGAGTTATTTGTATGCATAAAATGCCTCAAATAAATCCTGAACAAGTAGCAAGATTAGTTGCGTTAGTAAACGATGGGCATAGTAAACGTTACGCCGCTCGTGCAGTGGGAGTTCATGAAGCAACTGCTCGTAGAGCAATCCGCAAGTACGAACAAACAGGAAGCACCGCTCGGATGGTCGGTTCTGGTCGCCCCCGAAAAACTTCTCCAAGAGATGATCGCTTCTTGAGATTGCGGATTTTACGGAATCAATCAAATACTGCGTAAATGTTCAGCAAGATCTTCGCCAAATTCGTGATGTTGCAGTAAATAAGCAGACGGTATATAGACGTCTAAAAGAAGTTAATTTAAAAGCTAGGAGACCTGCAAAAGGTCCCAAATTATTGCCCGAACATCGTGCTGCTAGAAGAAATTTTGTTGAAAATTATGGACAGTGGAATATTCCTGAATGGTCGAAAATCTTGTTTACGGATGAGTCAAGGTTTTGCCTTAACATGGTGGATGGAAGAAAAAGAGTGTGGAGAAGAACTGGTGAACGGTTTAATCAAAATTTAATAACAGAATGCGAAAGTTTTAATGGTCGGTCCGTTATGGTGTGTAATGTAATGTTTTTTAAAATTATTGGTATAAGTTTATTTCATTAGAAAATTGTTTCTCGATAAATTCAGAAAGTTGGTAATCTGCAAGGATTCAGCAAAAAAGCTGTAATTCGGAAAATTTTAGAGATAAATCAATGAATAAAAAACAAAATGCTCGCAAAAGAAGCCTCTTTCGTATAGGGTTCAAGCACTTTCTATGCCATTACTCAATTAACACACAGGGTGAGTCAAAAATTAAGAATAAATCATGGTTAGAGTTATTCCACCACCATCAAGGAGGCTTTGAAAAAATGTTCACCTCTTTATTTTTTTTAAGGAAAATGCATTACCTACCAACAAATAAAAAAAAATAAAAATCGGCCTACTATTTTTTTTTAAGAAGATAGGTCAAATATCAAGTACGTCACTTTTTTTGGAACTGAGTGTATTATGAAAACATTGAAGTATATCTCGAAAATGGAGCAAGTTAGGACACATGTTTATTTCTTGAATTTTCTTTCATAAAATATGATGAGAATAAGTAATATTCACACTTATTCATTCACATCCTGTATATTGAGGTTATCTGGAAAATTTATTGAGAAAAACAATACAGAATCCAAGTAATCATAATAAAATGACGAATATTCTTTCAATTTAAACTGTTTTTCAGTAGGTATATAATTCCCGTTCTGAATGAACACTGTAACGTTCTTATGGGCCACCAAATGACGCCTGTCTTATAAGCAGCATAATAATTTTTTAAAAAGGATACACCCCGTTTCCAGGATAGATCTCTCTTCGGATCCCAAAATTCCGCTCAGAAAGTACTGGACGGCGTCACTATGTTCACGGAAGTCATCGCCAGCGTGGGATCGCAGCCCAAAAGGCTGATCAGCGATTGGGCGGCGGATAAAATAGCACCTAGCTATTGGAGGCCGAATAATGAAATCAAGGTATGACTGTTTTCCACCTTGTAACGTTATCTACAACGAGGTGCGTAGTTTGACGTTTCTGCACGGATTATATTAGTCTCGGGCGCCACCTATTTTATAGTGGTAGGTCCACTTGCACCGGGCAACTATCAGTGGAGATAGTGTAATCCAGGGGCCGTGAAATTGTCAATGTCAAAATGACTGATGCAGGTTATGACTAAGTTAGATGCCACTCGGATTACTAGTTACTCTAGTGAATACAAACAAATGAACAACAAAGAAAATGAAAGAATACTAATATTCGATTTATTACCAAATCTAATACTTCCCAATCAAACCATTGTCACTGGCTCGTCTTCAGCTAATACCCGGTATCCAATTAATGATCAGATTCACTCGTTCATGCATGCCTTGATCCTTTCAACCCTCTGATTCTGGAACCGGTTGTAAACACGGTAGTTCCGTTTTAGAATCAAGAACCTTTACTAGATCCGGTTGTTAACTCGGTAGAAATATTCTGAGAAAATTAATCACTTCATAGAAAATCTGCTAAATAGGATGTCGTGGTCAACGCAGTCAAATGCCTTGCTAAGATCGCAGAAGATCCCAATAGGACATTCTCCTGCTTCCATTGATTCAATAACTTTCTCATAAAATGATAAAGTTCCGCTATTCATAGATATATTTTTTATTTACAACCATATATTTCATTCTTTGCTATGAACATTACATTGCATCTCATATAAATGTATTTTTTAACATTTACAATGAAATAACATGAATAATCAGACAGATTCATATCTGGTATGAGATTATTCATGCGTTATTACATTAAATTATAGTTATTGAAATAAACAACGGATTCAAAAATAATAATAATAATAAAACAGAAAGCTCATGAGAAGTACATTATGACATGATGAAATAAATTTGTGAATGATAAATCATTCACTTAGGTTTGATTTTCTCTTTGCAAGAGGATATGTTTCTTGACTTTAACTTTGAATTGGGTGATATTTGTGCAACTTCTGATGTCATCAGGTAATTTTTTTGGCCAAGTGTAGAATTAGCAGCATCAAGATGAAACAAGTCATATTGTTGTCTAGTATGATGTTCATGGATTTGAGAATTCCTTACCGATATGAAGTTAGGAGAGTATTAATCAGATAGCGCTCTTCCAAAGGAAATGTATTTTTTTCTTCATAAAGTTGATTTGATGGGGTGTCATATGGAAGACGATACAGTACTATTATTAATTTCGAATAATTTCAGAAACCGTTCAAGAAAGGAGTATTCATAGACTTTTGAAAAACACGAGGGTACAGTGATTGGTCGATAGTTTGTCATTAGTAAGGCATTCGACTTTTTGTGAATGGGGACGATTTCCGTCTTTAGTTTTGTTGGAAAATCGCCCGAGATAAAAGATAAATGAAATAAAAGGTCACAGAAGGAGTCAGTTTTCTTCAAACATTCGAAATTTGTCTCTCATAGCTACTGACGTCACAACACAGTAAGTGACACACATAGTTGCCAGATGTCAAAGAACACTCCGTTCTGATACCGAAAAATCACTAATAACGCTTTCCACTCGTCGCACTAGCTCTAACTTTTTCGGCACTGAGCGTGTTTTGCGTGGTCTACTGATAATTTCAAGAGCGAACTTTTTTCTAGAAATGATTCCACTGGCTCTCAAACTCGCGTGATGCTCGCTCAAAATTCGAGTTTTCAGTACCGTGCTTCTGCGAAAGTGCGATACACATAACCTTAGATATTCGAGTGGGGAAATATTTGAAATTCGACTGATTATGAATGTCTCATTGGAGTTTATTCCAATAATATCCGAAATCATAGATTCTTCGGATGGTAGCGATGATGACGAAATAATGATTATTGAAATACAGAAGTACTTCGTTACCGAAACAGCATTTACCAAAAATTCAAAATTACTTAAAAGTTGTAGAAAGCTATACAGATGTGATTAAAATGATTGAATTGTTGTTGTTTCAGTAATTGTATCGGGTCTTCAACAATGATTGAACACCACTTGACCAAAATGTGTTTGCAAAAACACTGCACAGTTGGTGAATAAATAACTGCAAATCAACAGCTGCTATCAGAATAAAACGTAGGCGTATGGGATATTTGCATTTGGAAATACATCATGAAAGTGTTTCCAGCAGCTTTGAAGTGAATATGTCCACGTTCCATCAGGATTATGAGTACCACTTCTGAAATGTACCATCAGTAAGAAGGCATCCATTTCACCAGAAAAAAAACATTTTTAATCCTGAAAGGAAAATAAGGACATGAACAATAAAAACAAGAGGTTAATTATTGGTTTTACCTTTTCACAACAATGAATTCGAGATGCAGTTTTGATAAAACTGTTTTTCGCAAAGTAATAAATGTGAGTGAAATAATCTAATGAACCATATAAACTATTAACAAACCCAGGAGAAAAGACAACAAAGCGCTACTGGGTGCTAATGAGCTACAGCTCTGCAGTATACATTTCAAACACAAAAAATTGAAGAGACAGATTCGCAACCCAACTTTCCTGTTTTTAATTTTCGTAAACAAGGCTGCTATGATAGTAGACAAGTTAACGGGCAAATCGTTGGATATGAAAACATGAGATGAAAAATTTCCGTCCGAGAATAAGTCATCCAGGTTGCATTGTTGTGCAACTCACAATTTTTTTTCGTTCGTTCAGATGCCATTTCGAAGATAATTATTATTTACTTTGAGCAGAAACGCGTAACTACCGCTGGTAGAATAATTATTTCAACATGCAGGACCTCGTATGTAAAAACTGGAGATGAGAAATCATATAATTATTCAGGAATAATCTTTCTATACAGGAACATTATTTCAAAGATATCATAATAATTACTCAAAGACAAGAATGAAGCATTAAGATATCATCCTACCTTCAGAACAGAAATTTAGATCGAGAACAGCAAACAACAGTGACATAAGTCATCTAGTTTTTTTTTTAATTCACTCGCAGTTTCGAAATATGTGAAACTCAAATTGAAGCTTTGAATTTACATGGCTACAAAATAAAAAGCAAAAGCGACCAGGATCTTCGAACTCCCTCAAAAGTTCCCTAGTCCATCCTCTTGCCAATAATGTGTCACATGCCATAAATATCTTTTAACAACTTTGTGAATTCGCTAGAAATGTTGATCAAGTCTTATAAGGCAAAATGACAAATTATTTTTGTGTAACTGTTACTCCAGAAAGAAGTAAAATTTATATTTCTTGCACAACGTAAATCTGTTTGGAACAAACTGCCACCGATCCCATAATTTTTTAGTCGAGACATCACTGCCTCTGCTACCTAACGTGTTCATTTCATCGTACTCCACGATTCTTTCATGCGTGGATTAGGCGCGATGGCCCTATTGTATGGCTGCCACGTTCCCCTGACTTAACTCCGTTAGACTTTTATGTCTGGGGACCTGCCAAAGGGCTGGTATACGCCACGGAAGTTCCAATTAGGGATGTACTAGTCCAACGCATAGAAACGGCCTTCGATACCATTAAGGAGGAAATACGACATCGAACAACAACTGTCGAAATACGAAACAGATGTCGAGCCTGCATTCGCAACAGAGGTCAACAATTTGAGCAGGATTTGTGAGATTTATGAAATGAATGCGAAATAAATGTTGAAAATGCAATTTTATTTTTTGTTTATTTCAAGAATAATCCACGAAACAATAGAGATACGAGACTGATTTCACCTCATAAGAGTAAGATAACAAATTTGAAAGGTTCAGGTATCATTCAAACAAAAATGATTTTTAAAATCATAATTCTGAATATTTGCCTTATGAGACTCGATCCACAATTCTAGCGAATTTAAAAAGTTATTAAAAGATATTTATGGCATGTGACACATCATTAGCAAGAGGATAGACTAGAGAACTTTCGAGGTAGTTGGAAGATCCTGGTCGCTGTTGTTTTTTTTTTGTAGTCATGTAAAGTCACAGCTTTAATTTGAGTTTCACATATTTCGAAACTTTGCGAGTGAATAAAAGAAAAAGTAGATGACTTATGTCACTAGTTTTGTATTCAAAAGTACTCTAACACAATACACATCTGAATAGAATTAAAATCCAGAGTCTACGCCTTATACTTTTTTCGAAATTTGAATTTGAATGTGGAATTTGGGTCTTTTTTTGATGAACAGATAAAAAGACGATTAAAAATAATCCACAGGGCATGAAAGGTGTGAACTAGTCTTAAAGGATAGCAGATGACCCCTTCATTCGACCATTTCAATTTGGCACACGATGCACCAAACACCCTGTATAATAATAATAATAATGATAATAGATGTCTTTATTACCAGTTGATGGAAGATATAATTACATTTTGTTAGTGTATGGTTAGGGCTAGATTGAGTTTGTATGTATTGAAAAAAAGTCTAAAACAGCGAATATAATGATAAATTATTCAAATCAATTAATATTTACACAGAAATATATAATAAAAAGACATATACAACTGCGTATCGTCAGCGTAGTAATGTTGTAAACATGAAACGAAAATATCTGAAAAGTTAATTGTATAAACAGAGAAGAGTATAGGGCCTAATATTGAACCTTGGGGTACTCCGGTATCCACAGATGAAAAACTTGATACACTTGCTTGATTCTTTACAGCTTGACTGCTCTCAGGTAGATAAGATCTAAATAAATCCACAGATCTGATATCCAAACCACTATAAGATAAGATCGAAAAGAGTAAATTATGATTAAGAGTGTCAAATGCTTTGGAGTAGTCAAGTAAGAACAACACAGTTGATTTATTTTTATCAAGAGCTGTCATAATGTCATCAAAGATTTTTAATAGTGCTGTTGTACACCTGTGGCCAGTTTTAAATCCAGACTGTACTGAGGGTATTACAAAATTTTTAGTCAAGTGATTCTGTAATTGTATATTGATAGCTTTTTCTAAGATCTCCGATAGAGTTGGCAATCGGTCGTAATTCTTGTAACGTTTGTGGATTATTTACTTCAGGCAAGGGAGTAACAAACGATTTCTTCCAATTTTGAGGAAACACAGAGTACAATAAACAAAAGTTGATTATATGGGTGATATGTGGCAACAGAAATGGTAAGCACAAGTTTAAAGTGAGAATATGATGATGTTACCTGAGTAAACATGATAACAAAAATGTGTTGTTGGTTGCATACGAATATGGTCACGTGGTGTTTAATCATTGTTGAAGACCCGGTGCGCTATAACTTTCCGCCTTCCTTCCAGGAGTGCTTCAAGTGCAACGCCCCGTTCGTCGACGGCGACAAGAAGCACCATTGCCGCGCGTGCGGCGAGGGCTTCTGCGAGGGATGCTCGTCGCGCCGCCAGCCGGTGCCGGCTCGCGGCTGGCACGAAGACGTCCGAGTGTGCGACGATTGCTACCGAGAGGAGCCGCCCAGCCTCACGAATGCCGCTGACGGCGCGGAGAACAGGGCGAGGCAGATCGGGGAGACCGTCATCAATTCCATCTCGGCCGTCAAATCGGTAATAAACATTGAAATTTTTATTTTTTCAATTTGGGATAGTGTTGAAGGAGCTACACAATTCCAACATTTGTTGACGTCTTTAAGGTGAACAAACCTTGAGACTACAAACAAAATAAATTATTCAGAGTTTCAGGAAGTGACGGAGTAGAAGTAAATAGCCATATTTGCCAGAAATACAAGATAAGATCTGTGAATAAGATTCTTCATGATTCCTTTCCTTCTATTACAGCCATATATTTGCTCATTTCTGATGAGAAACTTCATTACCACAATTTTGATTCACAGCTGAGCACATCAAATAAACTGCACAAACCATAAAATAGGTATCACTGCTCCATTCACTGCTTTTCGGGCTGCTTTCACTATTTATGTTCCCACACTTCACACCATCATTATCATGATCAATGTGCACAGAATTCCGTATTTCGTCCAAGGCTGTAAGGAAGGGCCAGTATGCCAGTAAGGGGGCTCGGTCTCTACATACCTGTCATATCTCCATATCTAATAATAAAGATAATAATATAAGTTTATTCAAAAACATATACAAAATATGCATTGGAACATACAGATAGGTATTTTGAATAAACTGGTAAAAACCTTACGAAGTGAACCTTGTAGTAAGGATAAAAAGCAAATAGGTCAATAAATATTTAACAATATTTTTGAATTTGTGAGTGACTGAGTGACCGTGACCCGTGAATGTCGTTACTGCAGTCAAACTCACTGAACAAACTACGCCGCCGGCCAAGACTGCCGAGAGCACCGCTGAGGGACGCTCAACTCATTTACGATTTTCAGGTTATGTAGGTTTGACAGGAAAACAATTCCTCGAGATGACCGTATGGCGGTACTACTGTATCGGCCACAGAACCCTGTAGGTGATTTCCCTTGTTTGAGCAGACCAGATACTCCAGCTCAATAGGTTTTTCTCCATATTGGGATACACATAATACGGATAGTTTGAAAAAGTTCACACTAGCCCAAAATACACTAATGAGCGCATTCAATAAGAATCTTAAATTGGTATTGACCCAAAACACAACATACTTTCTCCAAAACTGCATGGTAATGTACAGGGTATTTGTCTATATTTTACTCAATAGTTATCTCAGTTAATATTGGTCTTACAGAAACGTTAAAATGGGCAAAATTAAAGTTTTTTTTCTGTGACGGAAAAAAGTTTGGCATTTCATCTCTGTTGGCAGGTTATAAAATGTCACTTTTCAGAAATTACTTTTTTTCCGTGGGAAAAAAGTGAGTACTTTGTTGATGGCTTTTGTTGTGCCATAGTTCCGAAAAATGAGTCAATAATACCGTCTCCGAGAAAGAACTGCAAGTCCTTTTATCTTCCATTCGACTTCGCGGTTACGTATATTACTAAAAAACCACTTGATTCGCAATTTTTTGAAATCAAATCACAGAATTAGACTGACAGAAGTGACATCAGATATCTGATTACTTCAAAAGAATGATAAAGATGCCTACAACGTAGGTGTCCCTACTGTTAAAAACTTGAAATTTCACGTCGATAATTTTCAGATTTCAAAATAATGTAATATCTTCTCAATATTGATTCTTCCTTTCTTCTGTCACAGAAATAGTGTATTATTCACGTGAAAAATATTAGATTCTAGTTCACGGTTTTTTGTCTCTCTCCGCTACGCGTCGGGAGACAACACAACCTGGAGCTAAAATCTACTACTTTTTTGCCTTGTATAATAAATAACTATTTTTTTAATTGACTTGGTCGTTACTTGATGGAAATCCATAAACATACATAATCATTCATTCCAAACATAAAATTCATTCAAACATGATCCTCTACTCTCATATTCCCAACAATATATAATCTCCAGAAGTTCAAAAAAAATTCCAATACCAACCTCCTGTCCCTATCCTTCCTAGGAACGCACGATGTTCTTTGAACATTATAGGGATTTCCTTTCGTGCGCTCCAAGCGATAAAAAAAATCGTCTCTCATCTGATACACCAACCAATCAATTGTATGAAATAACAAATACGTATTCTTTAGATGAAATATATAGAATTGCAAGTCTTAAAATATCATATTGATTGATTGATTGTCTTTATTACCCCAAGAAACATTTCTGTTTATGATAGGGATACATGAATACATATAAAAAAAATAATAATAAAGGGTTAACTATAATGAATTCCACTCAGTGGAAACGAATTAATATTGTGTCTTATAAGATTAAAGTTATATTTCATTCCTAAGTAATCAAATCATGCCACATATTTTTCTTTCAAATTGTCCTGAGCAAGTATTTTTAAATAAAAAATTGAAGTCGAATGTTGTTTTATGTTATAAAAAATTGCAGAAATATGGGTACATTCAAAAATGAAGTAAAAAAACTGATTATTTCTGAGCGAACTGGATGAAATTAATCATGCCATTTTTTTTACAAATATTATTCTTTGTTTATCAATTTACAGTTGTTGATATATTTTGAATGATGATATGTTTACCTATAGGTATATAATTATGTACTTCCTCATACCAGAGCCTATTCTGTCTGGAAGTTATTTGTTCAATAAATAAATAAAATGAATAAATCTTGGAACTGTACTTTAATTTCCAGGTTCTGGACATACCGAGAGACTACATCAAAGAGACGGCCCGGCCGGCGTACTGGACGCCGGACGTGGAGTGCTCCGCATGCGCCGTGTGCTCGTCGGCGTTCGGCGCGCTTCGTGCTCTCCACCACTGCCGCGAGTGCGGCAAGGGGGTGTGCGACGATTGCTCGGGGGCGCGCAAACCGGTGCCGCTGCGGGGGTGGGACGGGCCGGTGCGGGTGTGCAATCACTGTCGATGATGGGCAGAGCAAGGGTGCGAGGGTGTGTAGGAAGATGGCTCAATGTCTAGCAACGCGGTGACGTCAGCTGAGGCAGGGCCTACTCTATCTCACCGGGTCGCATTTAAACATTCCACTATAGGATTCGGAACCCGTCTCAATTTTCATTGGCTCATTGAAATACACCTTACTATCACAACCAATAATTGAACAGTGCCGAATCGCGTTGCATAATGTTCAAACAGTGCCCAAATCGGCAGTGGAATGTTATACAGGGTGTCCGGAAATTATGCGCAAAAAATCAAGGGGGCGATTCTACATGATGAAATAAGAAATTCAGTTTATATGTACGTGGGTCCGGAAATGCATGGTTATCAACATACAGTGTGTTAGACCTTTTAAAAAACATCGGTTTTTTATGAATATCTCAAATATCCTTCTACCGATTTTCTTGAAATTTGGCAATGATATTTCGTCTCATGAGGAGCTGATATTGCCATAATTCAATTGGAATTATGGAATCCAGTGGCGTCCCGGGGGCATCCTACCGAATATTTTTGTCAATAAAATGTGCGCCACTGATTTTTTTGAATTCTGTATATTTATTACCTATTGACCAACTGAAAATACAACATTCAGGTCTCTTGAATTGTTTTGATAAATTGCTTCATTTCCATGGAAAAAAATAAATACTAATTTATTGCACCCTACACTCTGTAGGAAAGTGCACTTTTCGATAATACAGAGTGTGTCAAACATGTATTATAAAATATTTGAAGAAAATGAATCTTCATTCTTATTCTACGTCTATGAACATGGATCACACATTTAATTTCACCCCTGTTTTTGAAGCAATGTGTTGCACAAATTCATCCAATGAATTGCTAAAGGGCTTTCACGCTGGGTTGATAGTGACGTCAATATGTCAACACATACAGTGTTGCCAGTTGAAAGGAAATGACTGAATGACCAACCGCCCGAATATGGATATGTCTAGTGTTACGATCGTCGGACGTTAAAATGTTTTTTGGAACCAACTCAAAAGTCGTCCATTTACGTTTCAAAATCAGCACTCGAAGTTGATAAATGAACTTCAATATTTTTATTTATTATATAACAACATCAACAAATAATCACAGATATTGACATTAAAAATAACTTATTTTTCTACCAATACACAATTATGTCTTGAATTATTTTTTTAATAAAACTGATCAGTATTCACATTTACTGAGTGAAAATAATAAAAACTTATAATTCAATATTGAGGTTATCTAATCGTTTTGAATGTTTTTCAATTACTATCAATTAGTGAAATGAAATAGAAATTCGATCAATTGATTTTATTTCGTTGGAAATTAAATAGTGGTGCATCTACTTATATTGGAAATCATGAAATACACAACAAGAGTTGTTCTTACCTCAATATTCTCAATATAATTCATGAGGAAAACCCACAAAAACTCATGAAACCACTATGTCATTACAATAAACTAACACGAATCATATTTGGATCATTCGGACAACACAAAATATCAATATTAATACCATCATTCAACTTACATCTCTCACAGCAGTTATTGGAAGTAATGGACCATCTTCTGCGCCTATGCACTCAATGGTTTAGGCATTTTGAATAATTCGAATTTCACCTATGATCCACAAATGAATCACAAAAAATTTCTTGAAAGTACAAATTGTCAGTAATGAATAATTCGCAGAGATCAGCTGATCACAACAAATCGCTTCTAGAAATGTCAAATAAATCTGGCATCGGTGTACAGTTTTGCTTAAATCGATAACGCGGTTCGCCCATTTCAAAAGTTACTAGTATTTTTCCATGTGCAGTTTTGGCAGGACATTGTTACCAAGTATTGCGCAACTATCAACCCAGCGTGAAAGTCCTTTATTTATTTTTTTCTTCGGAAATGCAGCGAAATAGCAAAACAATTCATGACACCAAAACGTTGTATTTTTAGTTAATCATTGGGATATGAAGATGAAGAATTTAAAAAAATCAGTGGCGCACTTTTTATTGACAATAATATTCTGTAGGGTGCCCTCGGGACGCCACTGGATTTCACAATTTCAATTTAATTATGGCTAAATCAGCCCCTCATGACAAAGAATATCATTGCCATATTTCAAGAGAACCGGTGGAAGGATATTTGAGATATTCATAAAAAAACGATTTTTTCTAAAAAGTTAAACACACTGTATCTTGAAAGCTATGCATTTCCGGACCCACGTATATATGAAATAAGTTTCGTGTTTTCTCATGCAGAATCAACTCCTTGATTTTTTGCGCATAATTTCCGGACACCCTGTATAGTTACGGTGCCCGAATCTAATGTTGAATGTTCCAGCGGTGCTGAAAACTAGAGTGGGATGTCATTCATAATTATTTTACCGAAATTTGACCTACTTGGTTGATATTTTCAAGCTTAACTGCCCACTACATTAATATTTCTCATGATAAATCGAATGAGAATATTATTTCGTAATACAACGTCCTGATTTTCATTGAAATTGAATTTCTTTACAACATCATAAATCGGTACTGGTTCATCCTAATGAATTTATTTTTTCACCGAAAGTTGGGTAGTTCATTATGGATCAATTCGTCTCGATTGAGTGTGCTTCTTATTTTGAAAGTAAATGTGCTTAACCTTTCAATTACGAACACACCGATATGAAATGATGTGAAATCTCAACCTACTAGTGTGACGTCAGCATCGAGATAGAGGGGATAGACTACGGCCCGGTGAGATAGAGTAGGCCCTGGCTGAGGGCCGGTTTATCAAATGCAGTTCATGTAATACTGCCAGTTGATTTAGAAAGGTGTGTTTTGTCGACATCAGGTTACATTTTATCCAGCAGTTAAACTGTCTAATAGCTTTTTTATTTCAGTAACCTTGTCATCAAAAAGGGCTCCACCTTACATGGTTTGAGGTAGTAGGTTTTCTCTTTTTATATTATTTGGGATAGTACAGAGATGACACATCCAATTTTTCGACCTCGGCGACCTTCCGGATCACCGCCATATAACGTTTAAACGGCTAAATGTTTGCACTTTTTTCAGATTTTGTCAGTTTTGACCCAGAAGGAGTACTTTTTCAACAAAGACAACTCTATGCATTTTCAAACGACATGAAATTTCCTAAATACTGAGCTAAATATGATTACTGTAGGCAAAATAGTTAACAAGATACAACTTTTCAAAGTTGGTCACAAAAGGGTGTCATTTAATGAGAAACAAAGACAATTATAATGGTTACAAGAAAAAGTGAAGAAAGACAGTAGTATAATATAATTTTGTATTATTTCACATTATGTATTATTTATTTTTATTTCAGTTATTGCTTTACATTCTTTTCTTCATTGATACATTTCATACAAATAATATATAAAGTATAATTAATTTTCTAGTAGGAATGACATGAATGATCAGACAGTAATTCCTGGTATAAGATCATTCATGAAGTATTATCGACTGTTGTATAATTGAAATTACAAATAGTGAACAAAACTTACATATCATTAAGATACAGTCATATTATAGTGAACGATAAGGGGAAAAATAAAAACAGTGAAGAAAAAAAAAAAAAAAAAAAAAAAAAAGAAAAAAGGAAATTCATGGTCTTTCAGCTTTGATCATTCCTTTGCATATAAATATATTTCTTAACTTTATTTTTGAATTGCATAATATTTGGGCTGTTTTTGATATCATCTGGTAATTTATTGAATTTCGAAATCGCCTCATGTGTAAACTTTTTTTGCCCAAGTTTAGAATTTGCAGCTTCAAGATGAAACAAGTTATATTGTCTAGTGTGATGATCATGAATTTCAGAATTCCTGATTAATATAAAATTTGATTTAAGCTTTTTGTTGATGATATAATAGGAAATTTTGAGAGTATTGATTAAAAAGTGCTCTTCCAAAGAAAATGTGTTTGTTTCCTTATACAGTTGATTCGTTGGAGTGTCATATGGAAGACGATACAATACTTTCAATGCCTTTTTATATAGAACAGAAATTTTGTTGAAACTATTTTTGGAACAAGATCCCCAAATATTTATGAGATAGTTAATTCGACTGAGTATATGTGAATAGAGAATGATATTTGATGTATATGTACTAAGTTTAGGACATCTTCTCAAAGCACCAATAATGGGAGATACTTTTCCTATGAGGATGTCAATATGCTTTCCCCATGTTAATTTCTCATCAATCCAAATACCAAGGTATTTGGTATGGGCAGTTTGTTTCAAACGTTCATTTTTTATTCTGATATTCAGATCAATATTTTGTTTATTTCTTTGACGAAAAATCATATATTGAGTCTTATTAGAATTGAGAGAAAGAAGATTGGAATAAAGCCATTTCTCAATTTTTTTCAAGTCCTCATTTATGATATGTTCTAGAACTACTGGGTTTTTATTCTCATATAGAAGCACTGTATCGTCTGCATATATGGTATAGTTTCCTATCAAATTCATTCTTTCAATATTTTGAATGTATAATAGATAAAGAATTGGACCCAACACTGATCCTTGAGGAACCCCTTTGTTTAAATATAGTATTTTAGACTAATAATAATGTACGTTTCAGTTTTGTTTAAACCTCTTAGGAGGTCCAGGTTCAAGATTTTTTTCCTGGTCCAGCTCTCGCTCTTGAGGGCTCTGAGGATATAGGAACTCTTCATCCAATTCATCGTCATCTAGTAAGTCGATATCAGAATCGATATCAGAAGTTTCCATGACAATCTCTGTTCGATTCTCACATGACTGTCCACTGCATTGACCGCAGACAATAGAGCATTTCAAGCCTGCTTTTCTGCAGCTACATGCATTCCCACATCCTTTCTTGCAGTTGCAGGAAATCATCTGCATGAGGTGTGAAGGAGCCACATCTCTTGACATCATCACTGGGGAGAGGCCATGTTCTGTTAGAGTCCATCCCCATTCAAGTGGACTGATGTCTATACCCATCCATCTCTGCACTTGGTGATAAGTACGAAG